TCCAAAATCTCACAGTTCCAAAACATGGCCAAAATTTATCAGTATCACAAAAAACCACGATATTTCCATAGGGATATTTTTAATACAGTAGCTACGAGCTTGCTTCCTAAAATATCAGCTTTGATTGCCATCCATGGAAGGCCTGTGTACTTGTTTTAACACGATGATGGTCAAATTCTACTTTGGTTCTACTTTCCTCAACGGTTTCGAGGTTTTGCGGTGCCTTGAAAGAGATCAAATGAAAAAAAAGAATTGTGCCAAATGTCGTGCGGGAATTTACTTTATTATTTTTGTGCAGAGGGCTGGAGTAGTCTTTAAGACTAACATCAACGTTTAGGAAAAAAAGCAATTGATAGTGTTCATGCAAGTTTGGGCAAGAACGGAATCTGGATATTCGAGACAACTTTTCTCACTGTTATTAATAACTGAGTTAAGTCAAAAAAAATATTTTTGGGGGATAAATAGTTAGAGAATAAAGTTCAAATCGCTTGACTGATCGTACTTCTCTTCTGCTTTGAGAAGTGGAATCTTCAGGAGTTAATTATCTTCAAGCCGCACAGGTGTTCTCAGTCGAGTGTAATTGCGTCCATGGGGTGTCTTTCCCACAGTAGGAACCTCATAGGGAGGCTGGGGCAATTTACATTCTCTAAACAATGTCTTGAATTCATCTTTATAAAGACTGTGCATTAAGAAACCAAGCTACTTGGCAACGATTTGACACAATGTGCTGATCTAATTTCTGGAGGGCTTTTCTTAAGTACGTCAACACATCATTCTAAAACATTCTAAAAATCTCTAAAACAATGTCTCTGATGCATCTTTATAAAGACTGTGCATTAAGAAACAAAGCTACTTGGCAACGATTTGACACAAAGTGCTGATTTAATTTCTGGAGGGCTTTTCTTAAATATATCAACACATCATTCTAAAACATTCTAAAAATCTCTAAACAATGTCTCTGATGCATCTTTATAAAGACTGTGCATTAAGAAACCAAGCTACTTGGCAACGATTTGCCACAAAGTGCTGATTTAATTTCTGGAGGGCTTTTCTTAAGTATGTCAATAACATATCTTTTAGGCCTAAAAGTTTCTGAGAGCTGACGGGGGTTCTAAAGAATAATTGCGTGTTTATCATCCGTTATTCTTCTCGGTTCCATCTATATCTCCCGCCTTCGCCAAATCTTGAATATTTCTGCAAGAAAAGTTAATAAAACGTGAAGAAAGATGCGAAATTCGTTTCACAAGTGCTGGAAAGCTACTGCAAGGACTCAAATCCTAGCATATTCTGAAAAAGAGTTCGTTAATTGATAAACTAAGCATTGTATTGCTCCCACGAAGCGACTATACTCGAAACTTCAGTTTTTCAAACCTCGCTACGGTGGTTTTCGCTTCCTTTATAAACTCATGGTTGATTATTAACCAAGTTTTTCCTTCTGTTTAACGATGCAGCAGCGTAAACAAATTTTCCAGAAACTAACAAGCTCTTGTCTTTTACCAAGTTTACACGCAAGCGCTCTTCAGCTTCCTACAAATATCGCGAAGATCATTTGGGTGAAGATAGAATAAAACGATCGTGTTAGAAATCCGACCGAAGTATGAAACATCCAGATTCTCCTTGAAGATTCCAGCCTCAGACACTTAAAACAGTCCCTGACAAGCTCTGACTACACTTTTTTGTTATTTCATTAATACTTGTCTTCAATAATGCAGTTTGAAAAATTGTTCGTATTATGTTTGGTAAATGAGGCATAAGAGATTAAGAGCCAGCTTTAAGACGCAGACAAATTTGAAATTCTATACCTCGCACTTCCTTTAAAGAAATATTTTAAAAGGAATTTGCTAGATATTTGATCACTTTATAACTGTGTGAGTATAAGAAATAAAGCGAACTTTTGCCGGAAGGATCTCAAAAGTTTTCAAAAACAAGTATGAGACTAACAAGGAATCCGAGTCTTGAATAATTGATTAGTTTAAACAATTCTTGGACAAAACATAGCGTATGGACCTGACTAAGATGTAAAACTTCAGCTCCGTCGTTGAATTAGGGAGCTACACTAACATACAGACAAGAATCGCCGGCAAAGAAACATTCTTGGAGAAAACGGTAGGAAATAATTTTGTTTGGGCTTAGTTGCAGAGTATTTCGTTTACAGATAAAGCTATGTCAGTGTGGCATGGCTACGCAAAGGTATTTTCTGGTAAAAAAAAAAACAAAAAAAAAACTTTCGGTGTCTCGACGAAACCCAAAAATCATGTCAGAAAATTTGACGACCTTTTTCTGGAAACAAGAGGCTTAAATACTGTAGTAAGAGAGTAAACTTTGATGGAAGATATATTGGCTTAGTCAGGAGAGTTCCTACGAAGGCAGCGGCCCCTTTAATTTTTTTATTTTTCACTTCCATCTATGTCTCCCGCCTTCGCAAAATCTTGAATATTTTTGCGAGACAAATTAAAATGTGAAGAAAGATGAGAAGCTCGTTTCACAAGTGCGGGAAAGCTACTGCAAGGACCCAAATCCCAGCATATTGTGAAAAAGGACCCCGGCATTCATTGATAAACTAAGCATTGTATTGCTCCCACGAAGCTACTATACTCGAAACTTCAGTTTTTCAAATTTTCGCTACGGTGCTTTTCGCTTCCTTTACAAACTCATGGTTGATTATTAACTGATTTTTTCCTTTTGCTCGACGATGCAGCAGCGTAAACAAATCTTTCACAAACTGGCAAGCTCCTGTCTTATGCCAAGTTTACACGCAAGCGCTCTTCAGCCGCTTCCTACAAATATCGCGAAGATCATTTGGGTGAAGATAGAATAAAACGGTCGTGTTAGAAATCTGACTCAAGTGTGAAACATATCCTGATTCCCCCTGAAGATTCCAGCCTCTGACACCTAAAGCAGTCCCTGACAGGCTCCGATTACACTTTTTTATGTTTCATAAATATTTTTGCAGTTTAAAAATTGTCCGTATTCCATTTGGCAAATGAAGCATATACCTCGTACTTCCCGTTAATCGTGTCAAAAAGGAATTTGTTAGATATTGAACAGTTGAAAATTTTTCATGCGCTATGCTAAATTTTCCAAGTTGAGTTTCGCGGAAAAATTAAGAATTTGTTCATGGTTAGCGTGCGTATATCGAGTTATGGATGCATGCGGGAAGTTTGGAGAGCACGAAAAATGCGTAAGACTAGCTCGAGGCGCAGCCGAGAGCAATTCTAGCTTTTTTAGTGCTCTCCAAACTTCCCAAGTTCATCCATAACTCGATATACACCCAGCTAAAAGCACGAGCAATTCTTTTATAACAGAGCGACAACAAGGATCTGCGCGAAGAAGCCTTTTATTGTGATAGAGTGAAAAATTCTCACAACGCACAAAAAAGTAAACAAACGTCCCTATTGGCTGGTCAAAAACACGCCACATTTTATACTTTGGTTTGAGCGAGAACATTTGATCCAGTTAACCGATAACTGTGAATGAAAAGCTCAGAATTTACGGGGAAAATGTGTTTTGATTTAGATTTTTTGCGGCCTTGATTGTTTTGGTTTTGGTAAGTTCTCAATTAACAACTGTGTACTTTATTCCCCAGGTTGAACAAATTTAAAATCAACAATGAAAACGGAAATTTTACCTTTCAATGTTAATGGCCAGTTGGTGACTTTTTTTTTGTTTTCAATGAATCTCTTTCGGCCAAAATTTGCGGCAGCTGGTCTTCCGACAAATTTGCGCAACAAGTAACTTGCGAGATTTTTTCAGCTTTAGTTTTTTTGCTTGTTGGATCAGGACCTAAAAGGTCAATGTCAATAGAAAAATTGGGCAGTTGTTCGCTGGTTTCTTCCATATTTCAAAGTGAAGGAAAACTGCACTGCAGCTTAACAGGACGGAAACTCTAAGGCCAGGTGAAAAAAATGCTCACGTTATCTTATTTACGCGCGTGCGTAAATAAGGATTTTGTTCTCAGCGGCTCAATAGGACTTAAATAGGGCTAGCACGAGCGCTATTTTATAATTCCTTATTTATGGAAGTTTATGTAGGTTTTATCACGCGGTACTTAACGTTTTATTTCAATCTTTTTTGTAACCTTACTTGCATGTAAGGATAACCTGAAAATTCTTCATTAATGAGTTCAAAAAACAATTTCACGATGTCCCCACTTTGCAGCTTGAAAAGTTTAGTAAGTCCGGCTGGTAAAATAGAGCGAGCATCAAGAATAAAACGAATTTTTGCCGGAAGGATCGTAAAAGTTTTCAAAAACAAGTAGGAGACAACAAGAACTCCGAGTCTTGAATAACTGATTAGTATGAACAATTCTTAAACAAAACAAAGCGTATGGATCTGACTAAAATTATGTCATGCAGGATGAATTATGTCAATTTTGCAGTCCGCAAAAATGAAACGAAGTATTTCGGCTTCTTTTCAAGTTCTATGCCTTGCTTTACTGGAAATTGCAACTCGAAAATCAAGCCCCAAATCCGACTCAAAATCCTAACTTGAAGAAGCTTTGAGGTTTGCTCACAAGTAGAATTTCGAGTTCGTATTACGACCTCCAGTCGCCAACAATCGGTTTTCGATCGCTGTTCAAGTGGTAACGGACAAACTCCAAATTCTAACTCGTTAACAGCTCCTTACGAACAATCCTTACTAATACAGCTCTAACCAGCCTTTCTCCATAATTTATTTCATATTGCATTTCCTGACCACAATGCAAATCAAGCTAATGGTTAAAAACCGCAAATATCGAATGACTAAATAAGTTTTGGCATCAAAGAAACATCCCTTTTCTCAAATTTGAGGTCCAGTTTGATAAATATGCATGACTTTTCTGTGCTTGTAATCCTTAAAAAATAAACTTATGAAAATAAAGTCAAATTACAAAGATAGAAGCATGCATGTTGATCGTGAACTCACGAAAAACCAGTCTACAGATTAAAAAGAAGTGTAGGGCAAGTTTTAGCTTAGCAGATTATTTGCCTTTTCTTTTCAGGGAACGTTTTTTCCCAAACATGCGTCGAGAGAAAACGGCCAAAAAGGTCTTGTACGCAGTAGGGCTGTTGATCAAAACCGTGCTGTTATGCTGTACAGCTGCACAGCAATGGGAGGCTACGGGCCAGCCGGAAGTTTCCAAATTTGGGATGATGCTACAACGCCACATCTTCAAGAGGATCACGGGGGCTGGTCTTTCAGATGTGTGCTTGCGGGGATGCTATGCTGACGTCAGATGTCAAAGTTTCAACTACGTCTTTACGCAAGACATTTGTGAGCTGAGTAACCGAACCAAGGAGGCCAGACCAGAGGATTATGTTCCGAACCCTGAGAGATTTTACTTTAAGCGAGATTACAAACGAGGTTTGTAAATTTTTTTACTGTCTTCTTCCCTTTAAAGACATTTTCAGAGCGCAGAATTTCAACCCAAAATTAATAAATTGTGTCACATCACTTCCCTTTATTGCCTTAAGTCAAGTCGCCCTCAAATTGAGTGTCCACACCCCCAAGACGAACATCAAATCTTGCTTACTTGGAATACTATGCCACTATGATTGCTATTTCTTCCAGTCCCTCTCGGTTCCATTCCTGAGCTGCCTGCGGAGACTTGCCAGGAAATCAAAATGAGCGAAGGAGGACAAGCGGTCAGCGGCAAATACTGGTTTCACTCGATTGTACCCGAGAGGACTGTTCTGGCTCCTTGTGACATGAAAACCGAAGGTGAATTCAAGCGTTTATCAATTCACATCTTCTACAGACAAAAGTCGGTTAACCACGAGCAAAAACGTTGACAGAGATGTTATGGGTAGACTGCAACCACCTGACCCCCCTCCCCCCATCCCAATATTCATAGGGTGAAATGAGAAAATAAAGCAAAACAAAACAAAATAAAAATAGTAAGATATCTGACGGAAACAAAGCTATGAAGGAATGCTATAATCTCTCTTAAACTGATCGATTTGAGAACAAGTCAAATAGAATGAAAAAATTTCTTTTTTGACACAGAGATAATCATTCAATAGCAAATTGTTATCACAACTTTATAGTGACGAAATTTAACGAATAGGGAAGGGGAAATTTTGCTTCCTGATGGGGTCGTACAAAGCAAAATTTTGGCTCCCGCCGGAAGCAATTGGCGAATACCCTCCTTTTTGCTTTTAAACTAACCGCAGACTATTCCGTTTTTTCAGACGTGGACGAGTGTAATTCGACCATTCCCGTGTGTGACGTTAACGCTGAGTGCGTGAACACCATCGGTTCTCACAGTTGCTCGTGCAAAGCTGGTTTTACTGGAAACGGAAAAAAGTGTGTCGGTAAGTTAGTGAAATGACTTTCACTATTGCCTGAAGCAAGTCATTTTAAAACAAAGCAAAACCAAAACAATCCCGGCTTAATCTGGACACTCGATTAAAACAAATTGCTTAAATAACCGATTGGAATTATTTCCCACACCATGTCACGTTCAATTGCTTATACGGCGAGACGCTTTCGCCAATAACAGTCATTTTCGATCGACTCTTGCTCTTGAGTTCAAGCCATTTAGTTTTTTATACATTCTCTCAGATGTCGACGAATGTGCCAATAAATCGCATGACTGTGACGTCAATGCCTACTGCAACAATACCGTTGGTTCCTATCGATGCACCTGCAATTCCTGGTACCAAGGAAACGGAACAAGCTGCTATTTTCGTGAGTTTAACTAACATTGAGATACGAGTGACCTCAGTTTGTTATGATACTCGTATTTCGCCTTCTCTATCTTTCTGTATCGTCATATGAAGCTTACAATTTTGGAAAATATATTTTTTTTAACATGAGTCGGTCCTGAATCGAGACCAAGATGGAATTCGTCCTGAAAACGGGCTGCATTATGACCCCTTACTCCTTAGCACCAGTACAGATATTCTCCTCGCTGTTCTCTATGCATACCGTGTGGTGCTGCCAAGGGAATTTGTTTGAAAATCAACAGCTTTATAACTTGATGATTATTTCATTTATTCCCATGATTCTGATGTTTGGTTCGGCGGTAATACGGTGAGGAGAAGTTAAATGCCAAACCCTCTTAGGGGTTAAAGGGTTGAAGAATACGTCTCACTTGGCGCCTAACTTACCATCCCCCCCTTAAAAAAGAAACAGTTTCATTGATCTTTACAGTTTGTTGCTTACAACTATGTCGAACTTTCTATCTTGATCAGCCAAATCACTCAGAACTTTTTCCATAGTCAAAAAAGCTGCAGAAATGTTAACGTGAGTTTTTTTGACTAATTGAAAGTTTCAAAATGCGATTAATTTTAGTAGCCATTATTCTCTTTGGTAATTCCTCAATAGGCAGGTACAACAACAGGATAATAGTACCCAATGTAAATAAGATCCTTACCACCTGTTAATAAGGTCGGACAGCACTTGCTTCAGTACCAGCTACTTTTTCGTGAGTTTAACTAACATTGAGGCACGAGCGACCTCAGTTTGTTTTGATCCTCGCATTTCGCATTCTCTATCTTTCTTCACCGTCATATGAAGCTTATAATTCTTTGGAAATTAGTTGTCAAATATATATATATTTTTAACATGAGTCGGTCCTGAATCGAGACCAAGACCCTAGGCAAGACGGAATTCATACATACTGTATGGTACTGTCAAGGAAATTTGTTTGACAATCAAGAGCTTCATAACTTGGTGATTATTTCTTTTATTCCCGTGATTCTGATGTTTGGTTCGGCAGTAATACGGTGAGGAGAAATCAAATGCGAATCCTTTGAACTTTCTATGTTGATCAACCTTAATTCTTAATTTTTCATTCTTATCACGTTTTTATCGCGTGGTTTCCTCTAATTCTAAGAAAACATTAGTTGGTGCAAATAACGAGGCGAGATATGATCAGGTGTACTGGGTTTAGCAATCTGGAATGTCATAAAAACACGCTTTCATCGTGTAAACACGTCTATAAGGGAGACAGTGTTTCCATAAGAGCACCTCCCAGTTCACACGGGGTCGGAAAGGCAAGTTGTGTCTTAGATCGATGTGCGTCACACAACGGTTGTCACGCTGTAATTCGTAAAAACGAAAAAGCAAGTTGTAGACATTACCACCACCAAGATGACGAATGCAACATGACGCCAAAACTTCAAGGTAGGGCAATCCTTACCTTTTCTCCCTTTTTCGGTTTTTCGTATAGGTGGCCTTAATAGTTCCGTTATTCTTACCAGCCTCGACTACAACAACTACACAGGTAAGCTGCTTTCTTACCTAGAGCCAGTCCTCCTGAGTTCAAAATGGAGCAGGTTTGTGAAGTGTTGGCATGCTAAGACAGACGGCTGGGCAGCATCGACATTCCACAGCAACTGTGATGGGAGGGGACCCACAGTGACAATCATCAAAGTGAACGATTACATATTTGGTGGATACACTGATGTGTCCTGGGGACCAAGCGGTGAGTACGTTTTTGAATAATCTAGCTTGGTGTCTAAAACAGAAAAAAAAAATGTCCCCTAAAAGGTGTTTCTTGAAATTCTTGGTAACTTTACGGGCCCAAAGCCATGTCATAGGAGAGAAATCTAAGCAATAGTTGTTTGAATCGTTTCTCAAAAAACCGATCCACCTTTGTTTCGTCACATGATATTCTCATTCTTTGAATTTCAAAACTATCCACAACTCAATCTTGAATGTAAAAAACAGCTTTTTGGGGCTGGTCCCAGATCGTAAACCTGTCTAATCTTTGAATGCATCCCTGCGTGTCCCTTTTAATCAACATTTTAGGTACCTGTGATTGGTCTTTCGCCACCAAAGCCTTTTTATTCTCACTTAATGAGTGTCGCAAAGCCAAAACCAAGTTCATTAAAACGGGCCAATCAAAACATAGGACAAGAACAAAAGCTGCGCGAGGCGCGAGAAAAACGCGATATACCATGTCACACTTGGTATAAGAATGACTGACGTATCTCAGGGCTCCGCTATGACCCTTCGAAGTGCTCTCGTTAATAAGACTTTAGTAAGGGTTGGTTAACCGCCATAGCGAGTTTATAGATGCTTCAAAATTCGCTGCAGTTGTACCCACCTTCATTAACTTATACTTGTCATCCATTCGTAGATCATCCCACTTCTCTTTTTCGAGAGACCTCAAGGAATCGTAGGATGGTCTAACAATTGACTAATAGTTCTAATGTTCTTACAACGCCACCCATAATACAGGTTCATGTGGGAACTCCCATGCTTAGAAAGCCTTTCTCTTCTCCCTCAGATCAACAACATCAAAGGACCGATCCATTTTGTTTTGTATCTTGATTTTCTTATCGTTTGAATTAAGAAACTATCCATAACTCGATCTTAAATGTAAAAACGGCCAAAAAAAAATTTGCTTTTTGGGGCTGGTCCCTGATCCTATACCTGTCTAATCTTTGAATGTATCTCTGCATTTCCATTTTAATCAACATTTTAGGTTCCTGTTTTTGGTCTTACGCCACCAAAGCCTTTTTATTCTCATTTAACAACATCAAAGGATACAATCCTGTGAAGCTGACACAATACCGAAACCAGCAATACGCAATGTACACATGTTCCTCTTACGGACCCACTTTTGGTTGGGGACGTGACATCCGCATAGTGGACGACGCTGTAAACAATCAGTACTCTTTTACTGAATGCGGTGGAACGTACTCCAACCCCACGGGTTATTCAGCTGGAAACTGTGGTTTTTTCACAGGAAGTTATAATTTTACTCCTTCTGACATTGAAGTTTTCTTCGGAATAGGTAAGTTATTGTACAGAAACACTTGAAACCCTGTCCTAAATATACGACGAATAAACACATAGACTCTAATTCATGGCAACGGTCAGGGATTCTAAAAGCGCACGCGCTGAACCATATACAGAAGCGAAATACTATTCAGGTTATTGTGGCGGCAGTGCTAAGTGAATTGTATCTCAGTTCCAGGATATCAGTGCACATCAACTAAATCAGGGAACAAATTGATTTAGATGCCATGTTTTGCCATGAAATTGAATCGCTGAGTTGGGCTGAAACAGACAGTTCAACCCAGCTAAACTGAACTTTTGGTTTCTGCTTTTCGTTGCCAGTTTTACACGCGCTTAAGAAAACGTGTTCTCGTGAAATTTAGTTGATGTGTTTACAAAATAAATGTACTTGGAAATATTTAAGTTTAAATGGGATCACATGGTTAGCACCTCGCCCTGTGACTAAAAAGATCTAGGGCTCTAATTTTTGTGAAATACTCTCACGGTTGTGAAAGAAGAAATAACATCTTTCTCTATTCTAGAACGTCTGTTATTGTAATTTACATTCGAGTTTCTTTTACGCACCCAGGTGGCCTTGGTGCATCTACTATACTTGGAAGCCTGGACCCCAATAAATACTTGGGAAAGTTGATATCGTTTTTAGACCCAGTTCTTCCCAGTGCATCCCGTACTGACTTTGTTAAGTGTTGGCACGCTAAGAATGACGGCTGGGCGGCATCGACATTCCACAGCAACTGCGATGGGAGGGGACCCACAGTGACAATCATCAAAGTGAACGATTCCGTATTTGGTGGATACACCGACGTATCATGGAGCAGTAAGTAAATCTTGGCCATTTATTTTTTTTCTTTTGGTGCAAGGTTTAAATGATTTCCAAGGGAAAAGGATTAACGTTGGAAGGTTTAATCTAGCTTGGTGTCTAAAACAGAAATAAAGAATTCTCCTAAAATGTGTTTCTTGAAATTATTGGTAACGCTACGTGCCCAAAGCCATGTCTTGGATAGAAATTTAAGCAATAGTTGTTTCAGTCGTTTCTCAAAGAACCGATCTATTTTTGTTTCGTCTCATTTTAGTCTCATCGTTTTCAATTCAAAACTATCCTTAATTCGATCTTCAATGTAAAAAAAGAAGAACAAAAAACCAGCTTTCGGGGCCGGCCCCTAATGGTATAACCCGTCTAATGTTTGGATGCATCTCTGCATCTTCATTTCAATCAATTTTTTTAGGTTCCTGTCGTTGGTCCTACGCCACCAAAGCCTTTTTATTCTCGTTTAACAACATCAAAGGATACAATCCTGTGAAGCTGACACAATACCGATACCAGCAATACGCAATGTACACATGTTCCTCTTACGGACCCACTTTTGGTTGGGGACATGACATCCGCATATATGACGACGCCGTAAACAATCAGTACTCTTATACTGAATGCGGTCAGACATACTCCAACCCTACGGGTTATTTGGGTGTAAACTGTGGATTTTTCACAGGAAGAAAATTTGACCAATTTTTTCCTGGCAACAATAGGCTTAGTTACTGTGGTAAGAGAGTAAAATAGGATGGAGGATATATTGGCTTAGTCCGAGAGTTCTTACGAAGGCAGAAGCCCCTTTCATTCTTTTTTTTAATATTTCGCCTCCACCCATGTCTCCCGCCTTCGCCAAACCTTGAATATTTTTACGAGAAGGGTTAAAACATGAAGAAAATTCGTTTCACAAGTACTGGAAAGCTACTGCAAGGACTCAAATCCCAGCATATTCTGAAGAAGAACTCGTTGATTGATAAACTAAGAATTGTATTGCTCCCACGAAGCGACTATACTCGAAACTTCAGATTTTCTAACCTCGCTGCGGTGGTTTTTGCTTCCTCTATAAACTCATGAATGATTTACTGATTAACTGATTTTTTCCTTTTGCTCGACGATGCAGCAGCGTAAACAGATCTTTCAGAAACTGGCAAGCTCTTGTCTCATGCCAAGTTTACATGCAAGCACTCTTCAGCTTCCTACAAATATCGCGGAGATCATTTGGGTGAAGATAGAATGAAACGGTCGTGTTAGAAATCTGACTCAAGTGTGAAACATATCCTGATTCCCCGCCAAGATTCCAGCCTCAGACACTTAAAGCAGTCCCCGAAAGGCCCTGAATACACTTTTTTATATATAATTAATATTTTTGTTCAATAATGCAGTTTGAAAATTGTCCGTATTCCTTTTGGTAAATGAAGCAACCAGGTCCACCCAAGGGCACTAGAGTTTTCACATTACACTCAACTGTCTACATGCCGCTGTTTACATTTGTTTCCTCTATTCAATCTCTTTTTTAACTCCAGTTGCATACACCGATAATTTGAAAATTCTTAATGAATGTGTTCAAAAGGCAATTTCTTGATGTCCCCACTTTGCAACTTGAAAAGTTTAGTAACTCCGGCCGGTATAATTGATTGAGTATCAGAAATAAAGCGAATTGTTGCCGGAAGGATCGCAAAAGTTTTCAAATACAAGTAAGAGAATAATCTCTTGAATAATTTATTAAGTTAAACAATTCTTAAACCCCACTTGCATTTAAGGATGACTTGAAAATTCTTGATTAATTTGTTCGAAAAGCAATATCTCGATGTCCTCACTTTACAGCTTGAAAAGTTTAGTAACTCCGGCTGGTATAATTGAGTGAGTACCAGAAATAAACGAGTTTTTGCCGGAGGATCGTAAAAGTTTTCAAAAACAAGTAGGAAACTAACAAGGAATCCGAGTATTGAAAAATTGATTAGTGTAAACATTTCTTAAACAAACCAAAGCGTATGGACCTGACTAACATGTAAAATTATGTCATGCAGGACCGCAAATAATTTTGTATCCCGTAAAAATGAAACGAACCATTTCGGCATCTTTTCAAGTTCTATGCCTTGCCTTACTAGTAACTCCAACTCAAAAATCCAGCTCGAAATCGGACTCAGAATCCTAACTCGAAGGAGTGTTTCCTCAAAAGTAGAACTTTGAGCTCGTATGACGACCTCCAGTCGCCAACAATCGGTTTTCGATCGCTGTTCAAGCGACTGCTCGATAAAAGAGAAACTCCAAATCCTAACTCGTTAACAGCTCCTAACTAACTATCCTAACTGATACAGCTCTGATCAGCCTTTCTCCATTATTTATTTGATGTTGCATTTCCTGACCAGAATGCAAGTCAAGATAATGGTTAAAAACCACAAATATTGAATGAATAAATACGTTTTGGCATTGCACAAACATCCGTTTTCCTGAAATTTGAGGTCCATTTTGATAAATAAAAATGACTTTTCTCTATGCGCAATTCGTAAAAAATAAAGTCAAATGAAAAACAGAGAAGCATGCATGTTGATCGTGAACTCACGAAAAGCCAGTCTACGGATTAAAAAGAAGTTTAGGGTAAATTTTTAGCCCAGCAGATTTTTTGCTTTTTTTCTTCTTAGGGAAGGTTTTTTGCCTAAACATGTGTCGAGAGGAAATGGTCAAAAAGTTCTTGTACGCAGCAGGGCTGTTGATCAAGGGTCTGCTGTTATGTTGTACAGCCGCACAGCAATGGGAGGCTACGGGCCAGCCTGAAGTTTCCAAGTTTGGTATGATGCTACAACGCCACATTTTCAAGAGGATCAGGGGGGCTGGTCTTTCAGATGTGTGCTTGCAGGGATGCTATGCTGACGTCAGATGTCAAAGTTTCAACTACGTTTTTACGCAAGACATTTGTGAGCTGAGCAACCGAACCAAGGAGGCCAGACCAGAGGATTATGTTCCGAACCCTGAGAGATTTTACTTTAAGCGAGATTACAAAAGAGGTTTGAAAATTTTTTACTGTTTTCTTCCCTTTAAAGACATTTTCAGAGCAAAAAATTTCAACCCAAATTTTCTAGAAAATTTTAGAAATTTAAGAAATTGCGTCGCATCACTTCCCTTCTTGCCTTAAGTCAAGTCGCCCCCAATATGAGTATATTCACCCTCAAGACGAATATCAGGTCTTGCTTACTTGGAGTGCTATGCTAATAATTGCTCCTTTTTTCCAGTTCCTCTCGGCTCCATTCCTGAGCTTCCTGCGGAGACTTGCCAGGAAATCAAAATGAGCGAAGGAGGACAAGCGGTCAGCGGCAAATACTGGTTTCACTCGATTGTACCCGAGAGGACTGTTCTGGCTCCTTGTGACATGAAAACCAAAGGTGAAGACAAAAAACGGTTTACCACTAATAAAAGCGTTGACAGAGATTTTATGGGGAGACTGCAACCCCCAGCCTCCTCCTCCCCTTTTTCAAAAAAAAAATTCAATTTATTCGTAGGGGGAAATGAAAAAATTAAAGCAAAACAAAATAAAATAAAAATAGCAAGATGTCTGACGGGAACAAAGCTATGAAAGAATGCTATCATCTTTCTTAAACTGATCGATTTGAGAACAGATAAAATAGAATTGAAAAATTTCTTTTTTGACACAGAGATAATCATTCAATACCGAAACTTTATGGTGATGAAATTTAACGAATAGGGGAGGGGAAATTTTGCTTCCTGAAGGGGTCGCATAGAGTAAATTTTGGCTTCTGCCGCAAGACATCTGCGAAGCATTTGCTCTGATGAATCCACGAACGAGTCGTAATTCAGCAAATACCCTCCTTTTGCTTTTCAACCGATCGCAAATCATGTTGTTTTTTTTTAAGACGAGGACGAATGTAATTCAACAATTTCCGTGTATGACGTCAACACCGAGTGCGTGAACACCATCGGTTCTCACAGTTGCTCTTGCAAAGCGGGTTTTACTGGAAACGGAAAAAAGTGTGTCGGTAAGTTCGTGAAATGACTGTCATTATTGCCTGTAGTAATTCATTTTAAAACAAAGCAAAACCAAAACAATCCCGGCCTAATCTGGACACTCGGTTGAAAACTGCTTTATGACCGATTAGAATTGTCCCCCAAACAATGTCACGTTCAATTACATATGAGGCGAGACTCTTTCGCCAATAACAGTCATTTTCGGTCGACTCTTGCTCTTAAGTTCAAGCCA